CATACAATATATAACCCCTGAAAACTCACAGCTGTGAGTTGGTTTTGACTTAATGGCAGTAAGTTGAACTTTGAAATGAAAAGAGTTACTCCTGTTTCCACCCACCCCTTCTTGGTATGCTGTTGTTGACTGCCTTCAAGTCGAGCACAACTCAAGGTGACCCTGTGAACAAAAGGCCTGAAGCCCCTCTACAGCTATCTACATTTATCAAAGTTCATGGTTTCCAGAGGCTTGTTATTTAGGAAGTAGATGCTACTCCTGCATAATCACCAATAAATATTTTATTTATATATATAATTTGTGATACGTTTGGTTTTAATAGCAGCGGGATCATTATTTATCCTTTTGTGGCTGACTTATTTTGATCAGCATGATGTCTCCAGACTGATCACATCATAAGATGTGTCAAGGACTCTATGATTGCATAGTATTTCATTGTATTTATGTAATGCATTTTGTTTCTCCATTTAGGACCACGTAGGTTGTGTCTATCCCTTTTGCTATTGTGAATATGCTGCAGTGAATGTTAGGCATAGTATGTCCTTTTTAAAATTGAAATTTTAATGAAAGTTTATAGAGTTTGGATTTACATTCATTCATTGTTGCACATTTTCCTCCCTACTCACCCCTCCTCCCATGAGTGGGGAGAGGACTTGGGGGGAGGGATTATATAATAATGAAAAGGTTTTTGGGGGTTTTTTTTTGGTGATTTTTTTTTTCACTTTTCAAAGAAAAAATCATGTATTTTTTTCATGCCTCTTCTGTTAAGTCTCTAGAGTACCCAAGAGTGGAACTGCTGGATCATAAAAATTTTTGGTTTTTTTGGGCACCCATACCATTTTCCATAGTGGTTATATTTATTATTATTATTATTATTAGTTTGCTTACAAAGTTTGTGTGCTTCATGTTTTACAGTATTATTCACTCATACTGTGTTTCATACAATCATTCCCATGCATTATGTTGTATAAAATTAATCACCATTGGACTATCCCCATCTTTACCCTGTCTTTTCAGGTCCCCACTGTATCCTTCTCATTTCCTTCACCTCCTCCCTTCACCTACCAAATTGGGCAAACCTGTGATTTTGCCCCTACCCATCCTCACCCCTCTGCTCCCACCCCTTCCCACCTTGGGTCTCCATACATGTTTTATGAATTATCTTTATTCTGTTTTTACAAAATGTTCTTACACAATATTTGTGCAGATGAGACTGAGTTAGTTCAATCAGCCTAATGCTCTTTAGTTGCTCCCCAGTTATCCATTGTTTTTCAAAATTGTTGCACCTGAGTGCTGCATAGTATTCTGTTGTGTGAATGTAGCACACTGTCTCAGTTCATTCAGTTGTGATTGAACATTTGGGTGATTTCCGTATTCTTGTAATGGTGAGTAACAGTGCTGTGAACATTGGTGTACCTATCTCCATTTGTGTCTCTGGTTATATCATTTTACAGCCTCACCAGTAGGAGGATAAGCATCTAGTCTTAACACATTTTTAAAGTATTTGTTTTCGGGTTTTGTGTTAAGTGTGTTAGTTTAGTGATGGTGGTACCTCAGTATTTTGACTTGCATCTCTCATAGCTAAAGATCACAAACATCTTTTCTGTGTTTGTTCTCCATTTGTATGTTCTCCTTAGTGAAGTTGTCTGTTCTTTCGCCCATTTTTTTTAATGAGTGGTTTGGGTTTTGTTGTTGTTGTTGTTGAAGTGTTCAATATATTTTAGAGATTAGACCCTTACCAGATATGTCCTTTCAATGATGTCTTTTCAGTATGTAAGTTCTCTTTTTTATCCTCTTGATAATCTTTTGGTGACCTGAAGTGTTTTGTTTTCATGAGGTGCTAAATTTCTATTTTACTTTCTTCCTCTTTTCAATTGTAGTTTAAATTAAAAAACAAAAAAAACCCTAGTTCCTGTAGTTTTGTACTTTGTTGAATTCTGAAGCATTTTGGAAGCTTTCTCAAAACTGGGGATTTCCCCAAGGATTCAAGTAGAAACTAGGGTAGACCACATGATCTAGATCTCTGAAGTATCATAAAAGAGGAATATAAGTATGCCCCTCTTCTCTTTAAAACAAAAACTTGGAGAATATAGTTCAGAACCTATCAAGCAAGCTTTCAGAACCCTACCCTAAGAAAAAAAATAAATCATCAGTGATTGTATTTATACAAAATTATGTAGTAAATTTTGGGTAGCTAATTTGGTACTTTTACCTGACTTTTCTTTATTGAGCATGTATTTTAAATATAACTTATAGGCAGTGTTTAAAATTATGAGGACATTCTTCACTTTTAAATTTCTATTGTTTAAAAAGAAAAAAAAATTTGCCCACGTTTTGGCTCCTCTTTTTTCATGGTTGGTCTTTTCAGATTGTTTAGGTTTATAAAGAGTTGTTGTTGCTGTTTTTAAGTGCTGTTGAGTCATAGACGACTCATAGCGACCCTATGAATCCAAGACCTGACCAATTGTATAACTTCCATTGTTTCTCTAAGGTCATAGGGTTTCCAGAGGCAAGCTATTTCAGAAGTGGATGCCACTCCTGTTTCCAAGCTTATTTTAATCAGGGAGCTCCACCAAACACTGCCACTTCGTCGGGTTCCAACCAGATTTCAAAGCCAAGGCATGTTTTGAACTCCATGCGCTAAAGCTTTCCCATTGTGTCTCACCACACAAAAGGGCAAATTTAAGTGATCTCTGCTACTGGATACAATTATTGCCACATTAATTCAGTTCTTCCTTATTAATAAATGAAATGTGTTGGTGAAGTGAAATAAGATTGAAGAAGTAGTTCAGTTTTTCACTCCAAGTGAAAAGAACTCCAAGTTCCAAAAGAACTATATATGTAACCACAGCCATTTGAAATTAGAGTATTGGTACTTAAATGTCTCAAATCTTTTTGTTGTTGTGTTGGTTTTTTCTTACAATTCATCTTTAGGATGATCAAAAAGCAGAAAATGATATGGCAATGAAGCGGGCAGCTTTGTTGGAGAAAAGATTAAGAAGGGAAAAAGAAACACAGCTGCGGAAACAACAGCTCGAGGCGGAAATGGAGCATAAGAAGGAAGAGACACGGTAAAGGAGAGCGTTGTTCCAGTGCTGAGTCTCAGCATGCATGTTACATGGGCATATGCAAAATCTTGCCACGTGTGCGCTACAGAAGGCACACTCATTTATTTTTTAATAATTTTTTGAGACACTTGAAATATTTACACATTAATTAAAATGTACATTGTTGGTGCTTTTTTGAAGTTAGTTTCTTTTCTATAAGTATTAACTAATTGTGTATTTTTATCCCAAGTTTGAGGAACTTCAAAGTAAAATTCTCAAAGAAAATACTAATTTTCTAAAAATGTCAGTAGATTGTCTATCTTCTTTTTTTAAAATGACCTAAATTATCTCAGGAAATACTATTTAGATGAACAATTTACCCCCTCTATACCCCCCAGAGTGCTGAAATATAATTCTCCCTTCTCACTGACATCAAATACATACACTCTTCAATCTGTTTTTGTCTTTGATATGTAGAATGAGAGATTTAACTATTTCATTTCTCAGGCGTAAAACTGAAGAAGAACGTCAAAAGAAAGAAGATGAGAGAGCACGCAGGGAATTTATTAGGCAAGAATATATGAGGCGAAAACAACTGAAACTGATGGAAGATATGGATACCATAATTAAACCCCGACCTCAAGTAACCAAACAAAAAAAACAGCGCCCCAAATCTATCCATAGAGATCATATTGAATCCCCCAAAACCCCGATAAAGGGTCCTCCAGGTAACACTACTTGCTGTGGAAGAGTCTGTTCATGAAAACACTGGCTTGGTATGTCATACTAACATGACTTTACTTTGATCTGCTCAGTTGGACATGCAGTTTGAGAAGATGCATGCTCCTTATTGGAAACCAAAATGAGCAAATGACCTTTCTTTCTGACTTCCATGTATTATGTGTGCATGCATATATATTCAGTAGAACAAATGTGAATGCTGAAAATCCAGTTTAAATACTAACTTTTTAGGGAACTCTGCCTTCAGATAGAATCTCCTTATATTACTAACTGTCCTTCACACATTTACCAGACTATGGCAAATTTAATGAGAAATTTTTTGTGTGCATGAAATGTACATAAAAGACATGTCAGTATAATAAGAAATATAAAAGCAAAAGTCTCTTATCTTTAGATACACATGATAGTATTTGTAATTTCCAAAATTGAAAAGGAGTGTGTGTGTGTGTGTGTGTGTGTGTGTGTGTATTATGCTGTAACATGCATACCTTCCATGCAAAAAAAAATTCTTTATTGAGGTAAAATACTGTGGAAAATTTTAAAGCATGCTCAGAATCAAAAGCTGAGTAACAGTAACATTGACTGTTTAAGGAGAAGTTAGTGAAGCTTGTTGATACTCATTATTGTCTGAAATTAATATGACTAATTTTTCAGTATGCATTAGCTATCCCCAAGTATGTTTTCACTATTTTCATTTTTTAAAATTTCCTTTGCTAGCGTCAGAAATTAAGCTGGAGATAGAATGGTAGAAGTCTGCACATTCAGTGATTTATTCCTTGCAAATACCTTTTATAAGAAACACAAACGCAGGCTATACACATGGATTTCACTAATAGTATGCATAGGAATCAAATTGATTAAATCTGTGGAAAGAATTGCTAGAGAAGCTCAGTATCAGCTGTGAAAACCAGGCCAGGTGCTGACTGTGGAACAGACCACTAACTACTCATATGCAAGCTCAAGCTAAAGCTGAAGAAAATAAAATCAGATCCACAGGAAGCAAAATTTGACCTTAGTCTATCCTTCTCAAGTTTCAAGACCATGTCAGGAATAGGTTTGAGGCCCTGAGCACTAATGAACAAAGACCAAATGAACTGTGGGAGGATATTAACAATATCGTCCATAAAGAATGCAAAAAGGTCATTAGACAGAAGAGGAAGAAAAGACCAAGATGGATGTCAGATAAGACTCTGAATATTACATTAGTGCACCAAGAGGCCAAAGCTAAAGGAAGAAATCAAGAAATTAAAGAGCTGAACAGAAAATTTCAAAGGGCAGCTCGGGATGACAAAGCAAAGTATTACAATGAAATGTGCAAAGAGCTGGAGTCAGAAAATCAAAAGGGCCTAACTCGCTCAACATTTCTTATTCTGAAGGAATTGAAAAACTCAAGCCACAAGTCGCAATACCTAAGGATGCTTTGGACAGTGTTAAATGATCCAAGAAGCATTAAAAGGAGTACACAGAGTGACTGTACCAGAAGGAATTGGCTGACACAGAAGAATTTCATGAAATAACATGAGCAAGAGCCTGTGGTGATGGAGGAAGTTCAAGTTGCTCGAAAAGAATTGGCAAAAAACAAGGCTCCAGGAGTTGACAGCCTACCAATTCAACAAATATGTGCTGCCCTGGATGTGTGCCAAGAAATCTGGAGGACAGCCACCTGGCCACCTGACTGAAAGAGATCAATACTTGTTCCCATTCAAGAGAAAGTTGACCCGTCAGAATGCAGAAATTATCAAATAATATCATTAATATCACATGTAGGCAAGATTCTTCTTAAAATTACCCAAAAACAACTGGAGCAACATGTCAACAGAGAACTACCAGATGTGCAGGCTAGGTTTAGAAGAGGCCGTGGTACTGTGGATATTATAGCTAATGATAGATGGATCTTGGTAGAAAGTAGAGAGTACCAAAGGAATGTCTGTGTTTCATTGACTGTGAAAAGGCTTTTGATTTTGTGGATCACAACAAACTGTGGTTGACTCTGAGAAGAATGGGAATCGCAGAACATTTGATTGTGATTATGTGAGACCTATACTTGAATCATTAAGCAGTATTCAGAATAGAGCAAGGAAACACTACATGGTTCAAAATCGGGAAGGGGGTCCACCAGGGATGTATTCTGTCTCCATACCTTTTCAGTCTGTACACAGAACAGATCATCTGGGACGCTGGGCTGTATGAGGAGGAATATGGCATCAGGAGTGGAGGAAGATTCATCTACAATCTGCATTATGCAGATGACACAACCCTGCCTGCTGAAACTGAGGAGGACCTGAAGCACTTGCTGCAGATGTTCAAGGACTGCAGTCTTTAATATGGATTGCAGCTCAACATCAAGAAAACAAAAATTCTCACCACTCGGCCAATTGGCAGCATCATTATGGATGGTGAAGAGATTGAGATTGTTAACAGTTTTAGTTTGCTTAGTTCCACAGTCAACACTCTTGGTACCAGCAGCCAGGAAATCAAGAGACAAATTTCATTGGGAAAGTCAGCTGTGAGGGACCTCTCTAGAGTACTGAAGAGCAGTGATGTCAGACTAAAGTCTAAGGTGCCCCTGATCTGGGCCATAGTCTTCACAGTTGCATGCTATGTGTCAGAGAACTGGACAGTGACTTGGGATGATAGAGAATTAATGCCTTTGAGCTGTGGTGCTGGAGAAGAGTGTTGAATATACCATGGACTGCTAGGAGAACAAACAGGTTTGACCAGGAGAGGGTGAAACCGGGCTACTCCTTGGAGGCAAGAGCTCTGAAACTTCTTTGGTCATATTGCATGGTCATGCTTGGGAGGGTAGAGGGACAGCACAGGAGAGGAAGACCCTCGATGAGACTGATCAATTCAGTGATTGAGATAATGAGGGTGGGTATGTCAGAAACAGTGAGGTTGGCACAGGATAGAGCAGGGTTTAGGGATCTTGCACATAGGGTCACTGTGAGTTGTAAGTGACTCTGACGCATAACAACAATGACGAACAATCTTAACATAAACACTTTCTTTTTGAAATAATTCCTAGTAGCAAGTTAATTTTGTCATTTCTTAAAAGTTGTTTCCTTGCTAATTTTAAGTAAATTATGTATATATGCATGCAAACATATTATGTGCTTAGATTAAAAGTAAAAAATCAATAGAGGCTCAATTTTAATCTGCTGGTGTTATTTAATGAACAGACTCTTTGCTCAGCTGCTCCTTTTAAATTTCTAATTTTGTTTTTATTCAGGGTCACGACTTTCTCGTGTCTTTTCAGTCTCTAGCCTTTCTTTGGCATCACTGAACACGGGTGATAACGAGAGTGTGCATTCAGGCAAGAGGACACCAAGGTAAGTCCATAAGGTGCCACTCTTTCTAATAAAATGGAATATGTATCTGAAATTACACAGAATTCTAAGTAAATAGCCTTCCTTTTTTTTTTTTTAGTTTCCTTTTTTGTAGTAACTGGGAATTATGATGTTTTGCTAACTAGAATTGTTTTAGTTTCTGTTAAAAGAAACTGTATAAAGTGGAATACTAGCTTGGCCTAATAATCATGGACTGTTTTTATCTTTTTTAAAATTATCATCACCTATGGAGCTCTGGTGGCCTAGTGGCAAGAAGCTGCACTGCAATCCCAGAGGTACACTGTCCGAATTCACCAGATGCTCTGCTGTACCAGTCAGATCCAGTTTGACAAAAAAAAAAATAAACAGTTCAAAAAAATTATCATCTGAGACACTATTTGTGAAACATGCCCAGTAATTGCTAATATGATTTAACCGGATAGTCTGTAGAAATACTCTATCGCTTGTGCATAATGCTGACTGATAGCTTATTTTTCACCAAATATAAATGGCATTTTTCTGTTAGGATAATTCTTCGTACATTGTCTATGACTTAAGAAAGATTTCAGTTATAGTCTCTTTCTTTGCAGATTAGAAGCTAAAAGCCAGATTTCCTTTATCTTACTCTGTTCTCAGGGAGTCCTAGTGGCATAGTGCATGGTGTATTGAGCTGCTAATCAGAAAGTTTGACTCCAGCAGCTGCTCTGTAGGTGAAAGGTAGGCCAGCTCCTCTGGTGGAGATTTCAGGCCCCAGAAACCTGAGTTGTCTTGAGTCAGAACCAAGTCAACGGCAGTGGGGTTTGGTATACTCCTCCTCCTCCTCATTGCCGTCGAGCCACAGCCAACTCAAAGCTGAGCCTCCGTAGGTTTCCAGAGCTTTCAATCACATGGGACACTGCCTGTCTTTCTGCTTTAGGAGAGCTGCTGGATTCACACTGTCAGGTGTGGTCTTTGGGTTACCAGTACAACTTCTACAGACTCTGCCTGCCGAGCTCCCTTGGTTTCAGTATAGTAATACTCAAATCAAAAAGAAATGTTTCTACTGTCACTCGCCAATTCTGAGTTCTGACTATATTTTCATATATAGAAAAGCATTTATTCTTTTATCCAGGAAGTATTTTGGTGGCACATTTTGTAGCCTGGTGGGTTGTGCTGACAACCCAAGGGTAAGCAGTTTGAATCCCCTGGAGAGTTGGCCGTGAGTCACTTCCATCTTGCTGGCAACATAGCAGCAGTGATGTTCTAAGGAGCACTGTTGGAACCGTGGTTATGTACTCATCCACCAAATAGATGGTTGGAGGCTTAAATCTGCCACTCATTCTGTGAGAGAAAGAGGTGACAGTCTATTTCCACAAATATTACAGCCTCGGGCCGGTCTGTGCTCTGAGTAGGATTCAACTCAGTGGCAGTGGGTTTGCTTTTTTGTTTTATCGTGCTCTACGTACACAGGTGTATAACGAGAGGAAGACAGATACATCTACCACTATCTCTTTCTTTAAGTGTTTGGGATAATTTTGCTTTGAACTTTCACATATATTCTTCTGGCTTCCAAACATTCTTCTGTTTGAGATAAAAATATTCTCTTTACAATTTAGGTCAGAGTCTGTAGAAGGCTTCTTATCTCCAAGTCGCTGTGGCAGTCGAAATGGCGAAAAAGACTGGGAAAATGCATCAACAACTTCTTCAGTGGCGTCTGGAACAGAGTACACAGGTTAGGCTGTGAATTTTTAGAAGAGCAGTTAAATTTAATACTCTAATGAGGATATACGAAAGAATGTTTCATTGATTCACCAGAGTCTGAGTAAAAGTGAATACAAATAACCAGACAAGATCTAAAGCACATCATTTGCCCGGAGTTAAATGTCAGACAGCAGAGAGAAGTAAGCTTCCTGCAGAGGGATAAATAGAAATAAGAATCAGAGGGAAGAAGCAGGATGGATGCCCTTGCAATGTGGATATTGTAATTACACAAAAAAATGGATGAATGAATAATGGAAAACCAATTTGCTCTTTAAACTTTTCATTCAAATCATTTGGAGTAAAGCAGAGAGAACAAAGACATTAACTCCATCTGTAACTCAGCCAGAGTAGAAACCCTACAAAGACCTTAAGTGGTTAGAACTTGTTGGAGACATGTTCTTAACTCCCTGACTTTTAATCCTGCCTCCTAGAGACAGAATGGCCGCCTTTTAGTCCTGGGATCCTCGCTCATCCTTGTTAATTCAGTTTAGTAATAGTTAACCCAGGTTTTTCAGCCATTGTTCTTACAATGGCGTTTCAGTGCTGCAGTGGGGTGCTATATCAGCTCTTGCCAGATCTTGAACTCAATTTTTCAAGCTATTGGCACCATTGGTAGCTCAAAATTAGCCCTCGTGAAAATAATTACACCATAGAAATGGCTAATGCTACAAATCCAAATTCTCCCTTCCTCCTTCCCCACTCTGAAACCCCGTTTACCAGCACATTAATGAATATACAGTCCTTGCCTTCTAGCACAAATTTGAGTGAATTTAAAGGAGGAAGAAGTTTGTTCTAGTACTACTTTTCATGAGTGTGAATGTTACAGGAAAATGGTGGCAAGTACTTCTTTCACTGACCGCTAAATGACAAAAACAAGCAAAACTGGAGGTGTGGAAGAAGAAAAAGATGGTTCTTGTCTTTTTAATGACTTAAATAATTTATGGGCCAATTCTGCTTTAAGCTTAGCACACTTGAGAAAGAAGATTAAACAGACAGTGCTAATTACAGCTTTATCAGACTTCTATGACTAACATCACAGGGCAGCCTGAGAAAGCCCTAGAAACATCCTCGAGATCTCTCTGTGGGAGAAAGTGTTCAGAGAGAGTGCTGTCCAGAGTACAGTTGAGAGTTTATGATACTGAATTTCATTTTCCATTGTGGTGTTTCACTGATGTAGGAACAATTCTATTACTCAATGACAATATTCTTTCTGACATGGAATTGTTTATTTTATTGTCTTAATCCTTACTGCAGGACCAAAGCTGTACAAAGAACCAAGTGCAAAATCCAATAAACACATAATACAAAATGCTTTAGCTCATTGCTGTTTGGCTGGAAAAGTAAATGAAGGTCAAAAGAAAAAAATACTAGAGGTAAGCACATTTTTAGGAAAATTAGAACTAGCATCATTATAAAATTGCAGGATGCTTGTCTTCTCTGTCCTTTCACAAGAAAGTACTTGTGCAAACTTCCTAAATGTAAGACCATCTGAAAGATCTAAAACTATATTTAAAGTATTATATTGAGTACCTTCATGCTAAATTCTGAGAAACACAAAATTTGATTAAGAGCTAGTAAAGCTCATAAACTTCTATGTTAAAAATAATGAATAATTAAAAATATATTTTTGCCCAAATTAACTCATTCACAGTTCATAAATGTAGATAAAAGAAATGAAGTTGTATTAGCCAAGGAGATGATCAGGGCCTGATAATAAAAGGTAGACAGTTTGGCTGAGAACAAGACTGAGCAGATACTTCCTGTTTTTTTCTGTATCCGAAAGGATTATAATGTCACAGAAAACCAATAGGACCAGTAGCCAGTGTAAAGGGTGTGTGTATATTTTTAATTAAGGCTTGCTTTAATTTTTACAAACATTTTGACTACTTAGAATTTCTTTTGACTACTTAGAATTTGTATCTTAAATGAAGTGTTGTGTAAAAATTTATTAAGAAGTGTAACACATACATAAACTTGATTCAGCAGAATGTTTGTATTTTGGGTGGTGGTTGTCATTTTGTTTTCTTTTGTTTTTTATTCCAAAGGAAATGGAGAAATCAGATGCCAACAACTTCTTAATCTTGTTCCGGGATTCAGGCTGCCAGTTCAGGTCTTTGTATACTTACTGTCCAGAAACTGAAGAAATCAATAAACTGACAGGAATAGGCCCTAAATCTATCACTAAAAAGATGATTGAGGGACTTTACAAATATAACTCTGACAGGAAACAGTTTAGCCACATACCTGCTAAAACTTTATCTGCCAGTGTTGATGCAATTACCATTCACAGCCATTTGTGGCAGACCAAGAGACCAGTGACACCCAAAAAACTTCTGCCCACCAAGGCATAGGAGTTGGGGCTCTTGCCTCAGAACATTCACGGTGAATTTGCACTTCATCTTTCCTGCCTATAGAAAATCTTTCTAATTGCCAACAAGACTTTTATTAATTAAAACTGAACATTAAGCGCTGTTGTCATGAACAACTGGAATGTAAACCACAGTAATTTGGGGTGCAGAAGAGTCTGACTTAGGGATAAGTCCAAGTGATGAAGGAAACATCTTGATTCACCAATGGAGACTCGTACATGTTACCAGGTTCACCTGCTGGATAGAAGATACAATGAAGCACTGAAATTTCATCTGTACTAGTTGGACTTAAGGTTGAAATAGGGCTAGGAATTCAAATTAGGTGTTTTATTTGTTGTCTTTTTTTTTTTTTTTTTTTTTTAATTTTTCTAATGTATGCTGGTCAACAGATGATTTATTTTGCTGATTTTTTTCCTTCCTGGGGTTTATTCTAAGAACCTTTGATTTTGTTTTGTGTGGAGATCATGAGAGTGAGAAGTACCCCTTCTGAGGTAACTTGCACATTTCTTCTGATGCTGAGAGAAACACTAGTGTTTAGTTTTACAATAACCCTCATGTCTTAATGGTGTTAAACAATTACAGAAATTACTCTGCTAAGTATTTACAGTTCTGTATTTATTATTCATTCAAGTATTACCATTTCTCTGTTACATAAGAGGAGATGCTATAAAAGAGCTGCTAGTAGGTTCGCTTTAAACCATGTGAGTTCAGTCGAGAATATAAGACATGCTGATTAAGTCAGTGCTGTTTTTATACCAGTTCTAGCCAACTCAGAATAATTTAGTTCTTTTTAACAGGGAAGGCTTTCTATATCTTTTAAGTAAGTCACTTTATAAGCTGGCAGAAGTGAGTGATACTTTGCAAGTAGTCTTTCAAACTGAAGATGTAAGACTTCCTGCTACACAGTCTCAAGGGGTCTTTACAATATATTTATAACTGTTAAGAAAATGATATTTAGAATTTTTAAACCTGTACAAAGGGCTATGTTTTAATTTTAAAATAGCTTCACTTTATTTTACTTATATTTGATTTTTTTTTTTCCTTTTTAATCCGTTTCAAGTGGAATAGCTTAGAAATCTTGAAATCTCCTTTACATGGTTTTTGTTCCTTCAACAATGCTTATCAGAGGGTTAGTTGGGGAAAAACTTCATTCTCAGGAAAAGACTTGAATGATTATGTGACCCTGTTTGTTTCAGTGTTGTGACAATTGTGTCGGCTTAGTAGCGGTTAGGGGGAAGACAGTATTGTATCATAAGCGAGATGCTTAGGTTGTTTTCTTTCATGGGAAGTAGAGACTAAAGTATATACATTTCTCTAATTGAGTAATTTAGAGAGAGAACTAATGTCTCATATGATGTATTTACTTATTTTAAAAAAGAGTAGGAATGAGATGTCCCTGAAATGTACTTTTCTATTATTGTAAGGCCTGTAGGCATCAGTACATCTGGGTTATCAATAATTTCTCAAATGCTGTCAATATTTTACTGTAATTTATGTTCTTATATTTATGTATATTTGTTAAAACTGTAAAAAAATTGCACAGAATTTTTTTTCCAATAACTGTGCAAGATATATGTGTAACTCAAAACTATTTGTGACCTACTGTTTGCATGTAAGAGACCAGGATATGTAACTCTTCTATTTTAAGTGTATACATACTGTGTATATAATATATGACTATTAAAAATGGGGAATGACACATTTTACCTTTAAGACAACAATTTCTATCACTATTAAGAAAAGGTAATTATTGTCAAATATATGCTTAAATTAAAACTAGTTTTTAAAAAGTACAAACCTAATCAAAATGTGTTGAATAGTCAAAGAATAAGCATCTTATATTCTTAAATTTGTTCTTCTCAATTTAAATTTCCCATATCAAAGTAGCTTCATGATACTACGTGGCTATTTAAAAATATGGATGCAAGATAACAGAGGAACTATTCACAACTTAATGAGACTGCCATTTACTCTTAATACATGTCCAAAAATTGAATTAGTGTCAGTAGTAACTAAAGGTAGAATGTGAATATTACCACAAAGTGCATTGCTCTCAGTAGAAGATTATACTTTATTAATGCAGGAGAAATACTCATTTATTTCTTCGGGTCTGCAGATTTTTGCAGCTTTCATTGGAATTATGTTTTTAAAATTATACAAATGAAAATCATGCCATTTCATAAACTCTACTAGGGATCTTTGTCAACCTTATTGAAACCCACTGGTGCTTTCATCATCGGAGGTCAGGTTATGATAATTGCTCTATGAAACTTGCCAAACATTCGTCACGGCGACTAGAACATACTGTCAGATTCTGCTGTTGACACAGCTTTGGAAAGCTCTCAATTCCTCTCAGTTGTTTTGTTTTGTTTTGTTTTAGAATGACTGTTAACAGTTTTTATTTGGCTGTTTAAAGCCAAATGCAGCTATTTAATTTTGGTTTCATGGACACTGCTGGCAATGTACAGTGTATGGTGTGCTTCCCTGGCCACTTGAGAGCATTGCTTACAGTTTTTTAAGATGCTGTGCTGTAAATTTCTGTCATATTTGCTATTTCCTGGTACAGTGTAGTTTTTCCTCCTTTCATTTGAATAAAAGCATGGCACCAAATGACTCCTTTGCTGTGTTTCTTGAATAAAATGGGTTGTTTGAACTTGAAGAACTCAAGTTTTTCTAACTTATACTCTATAAGAAGCAAATTTTAGTAACATTAGACATTGAAAATTACTTAAAGGCAATGTCTAAAAGTGGTACCTTCTTAGCTCAGACAGCCGACCTAAAGCCCTACTGTCAAGGCAGTTTCCACTCATAGCGATCCTTTCAAGGCTATAAATATTTACAGTAGGAAACTGCCCACTTTGTCCCAAGGAGCAGAAGGTGGATTCACACTGCCAATGTTGCAGTAGTTGTCATGTGCCAACAAATCAGAACCAACTCATAGCTGACCCTCCCGTGAGTTTTCCAAGGCTATCAATCACACAGGAGATTGCCCATCTTTTTCCTGTGGAGCAGCTAGTGGATTCAAACCACATGCCTTTGGGTTGGCGCGTAACTCCTTACCACTAGACCACCAGAGCTCCCTGATCTTTCTGTTAGCAGTCCAGAGTTTATGCACTATGCCACCAGGGTTTCTTAGTGTGGTATACAAATGTTTGTGCTCACTTTGTATTATCATATCCATATTCATTCATTAAATTTTGGTGACTTCTTATTTAAAATGTGTCAGAATTAGCATTCTTTGCCTTTAAAATTGAATGGTTCATAAACCCACAATAGCTACGTGAAGCCTGGGCTATTATTCCATTGTTGTTGTCGTTATGTGCCGTCAAGTCCCTTGCGACTCATATCAACCCTGTGTACAAGATCCCTAAACCCTGCTCTATCCTTGCCAACTTCACTGTCTCCGACACACCTACCCCAATTAACCCAGTCACTGGATCAATCCATCTCATCGAAGGTCTTCCTTTCTTGTGCTGTCCCTCCACCCTCCCAAACATGATGTCCCTCTCCAAGGACCAGTCCCTTGTTGCAATTATTCCATTAGTTTCACATTTTATTCCACTAATTCTGTGCATTCAGACTAGGATTATTGAGGAGAGGGGGACTCCATCTGTGGTCACATTGTTAACCCAAAGACCACCCCTGCCTGGCAGTTTGACTCCACCAGCAGCTAAAAAAAAGTGGGACAGATACCTCCCGTGTGACATAGAAACCCAGGGGCAGACCAGCTTTGAGTTGGTTCTGACTGGACATCAGTGAGATGATGCTGAATAACAACCAGGGTGAAGGGTGATCTTCAAACAGCTGCACTTCCATAATATGTCCTAGTGCTTTAATCCTAAAGGTAGAAGGGTTGTGCTTTTGCACCAGGGATAGAAATGGGCTGTCTCCTCCCGTCTGATTTACAGCCTCTGAAAACCCACTGGAGGGTCAGCAGTGAGCTGTGGATGGCACTGAGGTTTTTTCCAAGTTTTTAATGCTAAATAACCATACAGTGTAAACTGTAATAGAGAAGTGTACACGAGCCCTAGCACCCTAGAGCACAGGCATTTTTTTAAGAATGGTTTTCATGATCTGCCTACTTAAGAGTTCTTAACTGGGGCAGAGGGAAATAATTCTGTCGTGATGAGGACCAGAGGTCTGTCTTTTTGGCCGATGTATACAGAAAGAATAAAGCTTACCACACAGAAGGATATATAGCAGTAATGTTTTGACCTGGGATCAGACACATGGGGTGAAATTCCATGACCCTCAATAGTGTATAGAGATACTTTAAAAAAGAGATCTGTGTCTCTCTTAAATGGCAGCTCTGCTTTGAAGTAACAAGAGAACTTGTTTCATATACTTTGGTGGGGAGTGGTTCCCGTGCCAGGAGCTTGTGCTAGACTCTTGTTTCAGTCACATGCTTTTTGCTCTGTAGGTGTCCAGGCCTAAAATTTCTGTATTTCAAGTCCAGATGCTTAAATAACAAGAATTGATTTTGTACATGTGTTAATACCACTGCAGTATTCATGATAATAGCAACTTCCAACCATGGTGGCTTTTATTTATGTTAAATGGGAAGGAGGAAATGTTGATTTCTTTAACTTTCCATTGAAAAGGATAAAAGCAAATAAATGAGTTCACAAAAATTGTTTTTAAGGCCAATTCAAGGGGTGTTTTTGTTGGGTTTTCCCCAATGTGTTGAGTAAGCTGCTGATGTATTTTACTCTTCATTACTCCAATGTAGTGACTAAATCTGTGACTTCATTCAGTTACCAGCACACCAACCAGTTGCTATCTCCAGCCCGTGGCAGCCTCGCGTGTATCCCAGTAGAGCTGTGCACCACCGGGTTTTCAGAGGCTGGTTTTTACAAGGTCAACAGGCCTTTCTTCCTGGGCACCTCTGTTGTTATGTGCCGTCGAGTCGCTTGCTGACTCATAGCGACCCTATGTACAACAGCCCTAAACTCTGCTCTGTCCTGTTCCAATCGCACTGTCTC